AATCAATTTCATAGATCATGATGTAGTCAACACAATTTTTAATTTTACTTTAAGCCTTTTTTATTGTTACTTTTTTCTTTGACACATTTTTACTTCAATTGTAAAGAAAAAGCAAAGGTCTGTTTTAAAGATTACGAAAAATTTGCAAGAGGGCAGCTCTCAAAATGGTGGTCGCGCTTAGAACGAAGATCGGCCAGGATCGGGAGTCGCCGTAAGTTCACGCGTCCAACCATGCCTAGTCTGGCAATAAATAGCATAAATCGTGAAGAATGGTAAAATAGATGTAAGAAAGTAGTGTAGATATATTTTTATATTGGAGAGCTATATGTGGTACCATCAGCCAGGGGCACATCTCTCACGGGATGCTTCAAAACCAGACAAAACAACCATTTCCAGAGTGTTCTAATCCCAGGAAAGGAAAGGATTGGCTGCAAATTGGTGTGGGGTAAATTTTAATACCCCAGGTAAAACCCAAACAATGACTGATTATAGCACATATAAGCCGAACAGATATGTAGTAAACGTTTGAAGAAGAAAACGACGTAAAAGTAAGTAGCAGCAAGTGTGAAAGCAGCAGTAAAAGTAATAAAGAGAAAATCAACAAATCCACGGTTCCTAACACACATATCCTATTTCTTGGATTGTTTTTACTATAGACAGTTAAAAATATTGCGAGTTTACCTGAATTGGACAATATTCATAGCCAGCTCTGTTGACCAGTGAGTCCGGTCGAGTCGAGTGGTCAGCGGCATTTAGTTCACACGACCTGTTCTGCCCAAGGACTGGACCCAAGTTGTACGACACACATTTTGTGTTCACGAAAACATTTATTCTGGCACAGTTGAAGAGCAGTAGTAAGCAAAGGATGTTTCGACCCCCGTCCAGTAGGTGGAAGGAGGTACTGGTGGTAGGTGGGTATGCAAATGAGGAAAAAGTGATAGGGGAGGGGTGGTGAAAACGAGTAGGTGGTATAAATTATTTTAGTAGGTGGGTATGCTAATGAAGTCAAAAGTGATAGGGGAGGGGTGGTCAAAACGAGTAGGTGGTATAAATTAACATAAAATTGTGGGCGAGTTTTTTTTGTGTTGGTAAATTGTGGGCGATCTAATTATGCAGTGTTGGTAAATCAAGGAGGTTAATTATCATAAATTGCGGGAATCATATACCATGAAATGACTATTGTTTCTGAACAAATGGCTGCCTGAACCTGCCTGACA